GGAAAGGCAGTGCAGTGTCACATCCCTGGGAAGGCACTGTCACATCCCTGTGACAGCAGGGAAAGGCAGTGCAGTGTCACATCCCTGGGAAGGCACTGTCACATCCCTGTGACAGCAGGGAAAGGCAGTGCAGTGTCACATCCCTGGGAAGGCACTGTCACATCCCTGTGACAGCAGGGAAAGGCAGTGCAGTGTCACATCCCTGGGAAGGCACTGTCACATCCCTGTGACAGCAAAGTAAGGCAGTGCAGTGTCACATCCCTGGGAAGGCAGAGCCATATTCTCTGTGACAGCAGGGAAAGGCAGTGCAGTGTCACGGCCCCGGGAAGGCAGAGTTGACCACACTGAAGCCAGGAGACACTTCCAGTGTCATCACTGCCAGTCTCCACTTCCAGCCCCTGTCACTGTTCTTTGGGCTTGCCAAACCCCGCCCCCCCAAGCTCTCCCCACGCCTGCTCTGCACTGTGCACAATGCCCTGCTCCAGCAGCACTAATTTTCTGGGAGAAGCTGTTCCCTGCTGATTATGCCTGTTCCCGAACTGCTAATGACTGTTCCCAAGCTGATAATGACTGTTCCCAGCCCAGCTGGGCACAGGGCTGTGATTCCTTTGGGCATGGACACACAGAGCTCTCCCAGGGCAGAAGAGGGGAACGGGGAAATGACAGTGTCTGTGCTCACCTGGGCAGGGTGACACATCACCCTGATAGAAATCTGTTGAACTCAGGACAGTCTCCTGGATCCCAGAGTGGTGGGACTCGTGATTCCCAGTGCTGCTGCTCCCACAGCCCTGTGTCCACCCCTGTCCGAAAAAACCCTCTCACGGGAATACCAGGGATGTATTTTAGATCCACATAAGGGAGCGCAGAGGGACGTGTCTGCTCCTGGGTTTGGGTCAGACTAGCAGCCAAGCTTTCTCCTAGTGAAGCCCTGGCACAGTCCTGCCCGTGGAAGAGCTTTCTGTGGAATTTTCGGGCGTTTTTCTCCCCCAGAGCCAAGGTTGCTGTCAGTTCTCTCAGGACACACCTGCTGTGCTTCCCCCCCGTGCCGAGCGGGATCCAAGGCTCCAGGCCCTTCTCTCTGAGCGCGGCTGCCAGAGCCATTTTGGGCCGGGGCAGGTGGGGAGGTGACGAGGGGAAGGAGAAACTCACCTTGAAGGACGTGGCCGAGCTCCTCCGGAAGAAGGAATGTCGCCGTGTGGTGGTGATGGCCGGAGCCGGGATCAGCACACCCAGCGGCATCCCGGACTTCAGGTGATGCCTCCGTCCTCTTTGCCCTTTGCCGGTGCTGGGAGGGCCGAGTCTTCTCCATGGAAAGGGTGGTTGAACATTGGAAGGGGCTGCCCGGGGAGGTGGTGGAGTCCCCATCCCTGGAGGTGTGCAAGGAACGACTGGATGTAGCACTCAGCGCTCTGGGCTGGGTGACAAGGTCATGATCCGTCACAGGGTGGGCTCGACGACCTTTGGGGGCCTTTTCCAACCTAAATGATCCTGGGATTCTGTCTCCAGCCCAGGTAACGCTGGTGCTGCAGCCCCTCCCGGCTCCCCCCTGTCCCTGCAGGTCCCCCGGGAGCGGCCTGTACAGCAACCTGCAGCAGTACGACATCCCGTACCCCGAGGCCATCTTCGAGCTGGGCTATTTCTTTGTCAACCCCAAGCCCTTCTTCACCCTGGCCAAGGAGCTCTACCCCGGCAACTACCGCCCCAATTCCGCCCACTACTTCCTGCGGCTGCTGCACGACAAGGGGCTGCTCCTGCGCCTCTACACCCAGAACATCGACGGGCTGGAGAGACGTGAGTTCCCCCTCCCAGCAGCACCACCAGGAGGAGCTGGGGGGAGAAGCAGGACTGGGGAGATGCGCACGGGGAGCGTCCGGCTCAGTCCTCTCCCACGTGCTGTATTCCAGTGGCTGGGATCCCTCCCGACAAGCTGGTGGAAGCCCACGGCACCTTCGCCACTGCCACCTGTACGGTGTGTAAGAGGAACTTCCCCGGGGAGGACTTCAGGGTGAGTGGGCCCAGCCGGGCACCAACGCAGCAGTTAACACCAGGAGGCGTTAATTGTTATAATAATGACAGGTCCTCGGCCTGTTCTTTTGCCCTGGAAACAAGAGGGGATGAGACTCTGGGCTGGGCGTTGCATTGAGGACACGTGGTGGTTTCTGACCCCTGCGATGAGCAGTTTTGGGGTCTCTCCTTTCAGGGGGATGTCATGGGGGACAGGGTCCCTGACAGGCAGTTTTGGGGTCTCTCAGGGGCATGTCATGGGGGACAGGGTCTCTGACAGGAAGTTTTGGGTCTCTCAGGGGGATGTCATGGGGGACAGGGTCTCTGACAGGAAGTTTTGGGGTCTCTCCTTTCAGGGGGATGTCATGGGGGACAGGGTCCCCGTGACAGGCAGTTCTGGGGTCTCTCCTTTCAGAGGGATGTCATGGGGGACAGGGTCCCTGTGATGAGCAATTTTGGGGTCTCTCCTTTCAGGGGGATGTCATGGGGGACAGGGTCCCCGTGA